TTTTTTTCAACGGAGACGCCAAGCTTTTCGAATCCGCCGAATAATCAGTCATGTAAAGGAACGCCATTCTTTTCGAACCTTCACCATATTCGAACAAACAGGGGGAACACCATTCTTTTCGAACACCCTGAACGCCGACTTTTTTTATTGCATGCAAAGGAAAGAGTTGTCTGTCTCTGTAGAACAACCCTTCTCGGACAACTTCAAGATTGATGGTTGGCCGGAATTCCTCGACAGCAATGTTCTTCGTTGAAGGAGTTCATGATATTCTTTAGTGAAGGAAAACAAATAAAGAAAATAAAAAATTACAATATCCCGCCGGTAGGCATTGAATTGTGTATGCCCACCGGCAGGTGAAGAAGCGTGTTTGAGGTCTCAAGAATTCAAATCTTGCTCTGATACCATGTAGAAATTGATAAGAGAGAAAATAATTTGTATATTAAATTGGCTTGTGATTACAAATGTCTAACCCCCTTTATATGGAAAGAGAGTAAAGCATATAAGTAAACTTCTATTCCTACCATATTTGTATTCCTACTAAAACAAGAAATAAACAAACTAGGAAATATACTAAACCGAAATAAACAAACTAGGAAATATTCAATTTCCTTCTTCGATCCGACTTCCTTCTTCTATCTCCAACACATGTTATAGGTGTTCATCAATTTTAATTTTCTTTAATAATAATGATATTGTAATTTTATACAGTTTTATTAATTTAAATACTAATTATATTATTTACTCTATATTTAATAAATACTTGATAATGAAAGAATCTTCTTGTATAATTTATATATTTAAGCAATAAAGTCTTCGAATTTAAAAATTGCATGTGGCCTTTAAGTATTATCAATAATAATTGGATAAGTCTAATTAAAAAACACATACAACATAAATTTTCTTGATTTTTGAATAATAAAATGTGATAATCATTTAAGAGCAGAAAATATAATTTTATTTAATTAAATTCAAAATTCTACTAGTTCAACACGAAAAAGAGTTGGGTATCTAAGACCAATATACAAGGGTATTTTCATAATTTCATGTTACCATGGCACTCATAATAACTTGTCTATGCATAGTACAAATGGTGCAGCGCATTAAAAAAAGTTAGGGACTGTCTATAAATTTACTTTGTCCAACTTCTTTCGATTTATTCTAATATTTTCGAATTTATTCCAATTTTTAAAAGTTTTTTTCCAAGACGACATAAAAAAATGTATTCATATGTAATGAATTTAAAATAATATACTAGTACTCCCTTCGTAGTATTCGTCCAATTTTGACTTTTGAAACTATTCATCTAAACACTTTGATTCATCAAATTTTCTCAATGTGTAAGCCTAAATATAGTCATGTATGATCTTGTTTGATTTGTCTTAGCATATAGATTATTAATATATAATTTTTTAACATATAAATTACAAGATAAAATGGATTAAAAAAGTGTGTTGCATGGTGTGTAAAAATGAAAGTGGACAAATACTTTGGGACGGAGATAGG